CCTCTACTATGGCAGTAATCTACAGCGTTAATAAGCTGCTGAAAGTACTTCCTAGCTTCATCTTCCTTCAACCTTCCTTTACTTGCCTGTCCCAAAAAAAAATATAAGAGAAGCCGAAGAAGCATTATAGAATTAGAAATAAAAGGCCGAACCAAAATTGAAGCATTATCTTACAATTTTATCGAAAAGTTCGCCACCAGTCACAAATTCCAAAACAATGTATATTTTTGTCTTGCTAGCCATCACCTAGAAAAAGATATTGTCGAAAGTCAGTAAAGAAGTACACAGGCAAGCATGGAATATATGTTGCAAGATTTCTATAGAAATAAGGTGCCCCCAGTGTCAATTGAGAAATATATAATCCCAGAATAAACATATAAGGAAGTTCAAAAAGTAATCGTAAGGTGTTTCGCCAATTTGTAGGAAGGAAACAGAAGCTGCCATCTAACCTCATACATTCGGATGACATTTGGGTGCCTGATTAGTTTCATCGTTGAAATTTCACGTTTAATCTGCAAGAAAAGAAAAAGAAGAAGAAAGTTTGAATAAACATTTACTTAAAATCATGGCACTTCTTCACAAGTTCCAAATTAGAATGCTAAGATTCAAGTTAGGAACTCTTGCTTCAAGGGTTTCAAACCTTCCACTGAGGCATTTTAAGAATTTTAAGAGGTATTTGAATGGAATAACCCTCCTGTTTTTTGGAAGTTATGGAGTAAGTTATGCATTTTGATCCTATTTAGGTTGACTGGGTGAGACTTTAAATACTCCAAGGCAGCCATTTGTTGTCTGTCTACAAGTTTTCTGATTATTCCCAGAGATATATGGGCCCTCTAAATGCCAAAGTTTCTAACAAGATTGATCAAAATTCTTGGCACTTTTCCCTGCTAGACTGCATGCACATATGGACATTCAAAACCGATTGAGCGTTCTTTATGCAAATGGAAATTCAAAATCCATTTCCAGTTTTGTTACACATTGACTCCTTGTTACGGTCCTGATTATAGGATCTAGTTATGGATCGGCTTACATAGAAATCCGCAGAATCTTTTGAGCGTTTTTGTGTCTTTCTTCTTCCTTTACCTATCTTTGCAAATTCTTAAGGCCTCATTAGAAGAAAAATCTACAACTTCTTGAATAAGAAAATACTAAAACTTGACAAAGTTTTTCATGCATATCCATTTCAGAGGCAGCAAGTGGTTTTTTACACAAGGATGAGGAGCAGCTATGCTGGTGATTATTTCCAGAACAGTTTACTTCTGCATTTTCTCTCTATTTTTCTCCCACTATCCTGCCACAGTTTTATATAAATATCCACTTTAATATCCTATTAAGTACACATAAAACCCAGCATATAAAAACATATAAAATACATCACACACCATAAAAATACAACACATAGACACTACCAATTATGCAACTATATATCTGATAATTTTTACTTCCTCCTTTAATACACCTTATCAAAAGGTGTTATCTTCCCCCTTGGGTTCCTAACATCACTTTTCCCCTTGACATGGCACTTGTCTCAAGTGCAAAGAACGGATAGCGGAGGGATATGTGCTTAGCCAATTTCAAGAAGCATCTTCCACTGATGCCAATGAATGAGGACCTCATGCAGAACTTTATTAGTTCGAGAAGCCAAGCTAACCAAACAAGCACCAATAACAACCAAGCACTTTGATTAAACCAGTTATTGCCTAAAGTCTAGTTGGCAAACTTATTCTGTATGTTAAGTCATAACCTTCTTGGTGTAGCCTATATCGGTCGTTATGTTTGGTTAGCCAAGTCTTCAGTTTCCTTCCCAGGTTTTGTCATGTCAAAGAATTGCATTGTTTTATAACATGCAATCTCTCTTTTGCTTCTTCGTTGAAAAGAATTAATTTATTCACCAAAAGAAAAGAAAAAGTAAATAAATAAAGTATGGCATTAGAGGTAAGCAACATTAAATTCAATAATAAAGAGAGCAGAAAAAACAAATGCAAATGAATTTCATTACTGGAGGATATACTTTCTATAAAAGAAGTAGAGTTCTTCACTAAAATACCATAACACTTTTGTTCGAGTTTATGTGTGTGTCATCTTTCCAAACTTAGATATTAGTCAAAAATTGTAATAGTCATTCATCACGGTTTTTCTAGCTTACAGACGAAGAAGACTTCATTTCAGTCTTCCACTGTTCATTTCTTGACATCACGAGGTTTGACTTTTCCTTTTCTTCCAAAACGAGGCAAGAAAAAATGGACATACAGAAATTATTATAACATTTCTCATTTGTTATGGGCACCAAACACCGACCATTGAAAAATCAATCAGTTGAGAATTCCTTCACGTTCAGCAAACTAAGCACACGAATCATCGAGAGAAGAAAAATATTTTTTAAAAGAAAAAGAAGAAGATCATTGCGATGAATCAAGTACCTGACCGATCATCTTATGCTTCAAAATCTTCTCCTTATCCAGAATCTTAATGGCCACATTCTCTCCAGTATCGACGTTTCTGGCGAACTTCACCTTTGCGAACGTCCCTTCTCCCAATGTCCTACCTAGCTCATACTTGCCTACCCGTGTCCGGCTCCCACTGCTCGCTCGGGACGACATTTTTCCTTACTCGCTATCTGTCGATCTCTGCAATTCCCTACCCTTGTCTCTCTATCTTTCTCAGAATATCTTCTTCTCAGCCCTATGATTCAACCACAATTTTCTCTTCTCTTCAAGTTAATCTCTTAGAGATTTAAACTTTGATTATCAAAACCTCTTCTTCTTGCACGGCTGCCATACCTGAGACTTTGTCACCCTCATCTTTCCAAAACCGAAACCTAAATGGAGATCAAATTTCGCTGCCTAAATAGAAAATTGAAATTAACGGCGAAAAAATTTAAAGCTCGTTGATTAACAAAAGCTTAATCACGGTAGAAGGAGGAACAACATTAACCGCTGGATCAATTACATGCTCCATGAAATCTGATAAATCAGCGGATGAGAAATCGGTGAGAACAAAAAAAAAAATTGAAAAGATCAAGAAACTGATATATGTTTTTCCTAACAAAATTTACAAGAATGAGAGAAATCCGGGACGATGAACAATAAAAATACCTTCCTTTTTCCTTTTTGATTTGTTAATTTTACTTTCTGGTTGTCGTTGGAAGTATCTAGCACGGATCTCGATGAGTTTAAGATTCAGAGTTGGATCAGGAAAGGCGTAGATATGCAGACCAGTAGCAGACTCAAGATTCAGAAGAGCTGAATTGAATGCTGTATGATTTCTGTAAACTATGATTGGGATTAAATGGAATTAAAATATTCATGAATTATTGATTATTTTTTATATATTTCTTTTTGGATTCCACTCTTTTTATTCAATTTATTTTAAAATTAAATTTTTATTGTTTGAATGTATAAAAAAACCCTCCCACAATAAATTTTACAAATTATATAAATATCTTTTTAATATTTTAAACGAGGATAAACGTGACGAGAATAATGCATACTATATCAAGTAAGAAATAAGTGTCACGGAACATTGATACAGGTGATAAGAAAAAATCAACACTTTTATGGAGAGCATTCAAGATTCCTTACAAGAATTTCAACATAAACGTAAAATATTTTCATGACTATATCTAAAACAATTGCAAAAATTAAAAAAAAAAAAGAACATGAAGTTATGCCGTTTAGAGAGGGCTAGAAACTAGTTTAAGAAAAAGAACCGATAGTAATAGGTGACCCAAGAAACAAGCCTATAGAAAATAATGATGTATCGATTAACCTAACTAGAGAACTGATTATTGTCTAATATTTTTTTCATTTGTTACGTGTGATATCGGTAATTATAACACTTAATATAATTACAGTGATCATAAATTTTAGTACATCGCATGATTTTTTTAGAAAAAATAAAGAAAATCTTTCAACACATGGTTAGATAAATAGTCATATATTTCATCACATACAAACAATTCAACACATAATATGATGCAATTAAATGATAATATATTTTAACAGATCACTTGTAAATAATTCTAAAATGATATTTTTTCAGCACATCTCATTAGATGATTCACGAAATACATCATTTAATATATCATTCAAGTAAATCGTACGTTTCTAAATATATTTTAATTATAGATAATATATCTTCACTAAGTGATTACTAAAAATGGTAGCGAAATCAAGTTTGGTGGAGAATAAATTCAGGTACGTAATTTGCTAGCAAAGATTAAATTTTAAATAATTTGTTAACCTAACAAATATTCGAGTCTTAAAAAATTAATATCCAATTGACTTTAATAATATTAAACAATTTAAAAAGTTATAACAACTGACAAATGTAAGAGAGAGAGAGAGAGTACAAGTTTGATTTACATAAGTCAACCATAATTTTTTCGACATCATCTCATTAAATCACCAACTAGAGATTTATATTATTGTTCAATAAATTTTTATAAGATGCGTATATATCAGAGTGTTAAGCTCATATTTTCATACGTACTTGTATATCAAAGTATTTTTTATAACATTCAACTTATAAAATAAATATTCAGTTCTCTCTTACAATATAAACAAAAAGATGAGACAAAATATATACATATAAATATATTTTTCTCAACAAATGATTTTACAATATAAGCTCGCTTAGAACTCAATCGAGGTTAGGGAAAAAATAACGAAGATTTTGGCTTGATTATTTTCATTACTAAGCCGAGCCAAGCGTCCAAGCCCAAAGCACAGAAGACATTTAAGGCTTTTTAGCATTAAGGGACGCTTGAAACGACGTTGTTTCATTAATTTAAGAAACTACGTCGTTTCATTGAAAGGCCAAACGGAAACTCTAGGGTTTATGGGGGCGGGAAAAGAAGAAGAGGGAAGCATGGCAGGGGTAGAAGAAGAAAGCGAACCAGAGAAAATAGCAAGAGCTAACGCAGAGGATAGGGAGAAAAAGGAAATTAGCGAGATGAGGATGATTGATCAAGGATTTTCGGTGTGCGAATGATGGATTTTCAGTTTTAAAAGAAGGCTAGGCCGAGGGAAGAGAAGAAGAAAGAGGAGGTTCGAGAGTGAGAAGCAGAAAATCCAGGAGGAGCTGAATACTACGCCCTGCCGTGATAATACCAGAGGGGTGAAAGTGAAGAAGAAGGAGAGAAAACGAAAAAAATAAAAATAAATAGTGTTGAGCACATATAACTATATGCATTTTCTATATAACAGTATATAAATAGTGTTGCGCACCCCGAATTCACTAGGGTTTTTTGACGGTTTTAAACCGTTTTAGGGTTTTAAACTTAGTGAGATCAAATTCAAACGTGAATTTTGATCTGTAAGTATTTGTTCCGGTGGATAAGTTTACAGCTGAAACTCGTGAGTTGAGAGTTAGAGAGAAGGAGATGGAGGAACCGAAGAAAAGAAGTGTGCCTGTGCTGCCATGGATGAGAACTCCTGTTGATATCAGCCTTATACAACAATGTCCTCTTGAAATCCTCCCTTGTCTTGACCCCAGGTACTTTTCTTAATCCACATGCTTTTTGTGTTTGATGAACTTTGGTTTATGGAATTACTGCGCATCAGGTTGAAGGTGGCTTTGCAGAAAATTGGAGTTTCTTCTCTCTTCCCAGTCCAAGTTGCAGTTTGGCAAGAGACAATAGGGCCTGGTGGGTTTGAAAGGGATCTCTGCGTGAATTCACTACTGGAACTGGGACAACATTGGCTTATGCTTTGCCTATAGTACAGATGTTGTCTACTCGTGCTGTTAAATGTCTTCGTGCTTTAGTGGTTTTGCCCACTCGTGATTTAGCCTTGCAGGTAAATTTCTTCAAACTCTAAGACATGTAACTATGTGATTGTTGCAAATATATTCTATTTCTATTTACTTACTAGATTTGATAGTCATAATTTATATATTTAATGCATAATTAAATCAATTTCATTGGCATTTTTGGGTTCACTTCCATGGATTTTGAATTCTACATGGGTAAAAAGAACCACAAAATTGCTTAGCTTATTGTGCATGAAAATTAATTGAAGTTAGAACCTTTTTTTCTTTTGCTTTTCAAATTTTTATCTCATGAAAATATAATTTGTATATTTATGCATTACCATAAACGCATAAATGAACAAATAGGGATGTGAGGAAGGTAATGCATTACTAGAGGATATCTGTCCTTTGAAGGATCTCCTACGATATTTGGGTTCTAATTATGGTTGACTTGCTTAAGTTTAGAGGATATTTCTATATGTTTGCTTTTCTTTCTTGTATTCAGGTTAGGGAAGTTTTTGCTGCAATTGCACCTGCTGTGGGCTTATCTGTTGGTTTGGCTGTAGGCCAATCATCAATTGCTGATGAAATTTCAGAATTGATTAGAAGGCCTCAGCTTGAGGCAGGCATCTGTTATGACCCAGAGTATGTTTCACAAGGCCTTCAGTGTTCAGTTGATATATTAGTAGCAACCCCAGGAAGGCTTGTGGATCATATAAATAACACCAAGGGATTTACACTAGAGCATCTATGTTATCTTGTAAGCAACACATTTTAATTCCAAAATTGCTCTCTTATTTAAAAAAAAAAAAAATTCCAAAATTGCCCTCCTTTATTCTGGGCAGTTATTAAAAAAAACCCCTGATGATGCCTATGATTATTTTGGTTTGATAATTCAGTGTATTCTTGTACTTATCTATTTCCTTACTGCCGATTATTGTTTACATTAAACAATGTTTTCAGGACAGAACTTGCATTGTAAGGGATAGATCTCTTTTCTTCCACCTCATGGTTAATGTTCCTGGCTATTAGGCTAGAGTTCCTATCCCTGATTACAGAATTCTGTTTTCAATTTGATGAATACTTTTTAGCGGAGGACGAAGAGCTCTTCTTTCCATTTTGTTAATTCCTTCATGCTAAAACATTACTGATAAAGTTGACTGTTTAGGTGGTTGATGAGACAGATCGAATGCTTAGGGAGGCATATCAGGCCTGGCTACCGACTGTGCTTCAACTGACTCAGTCTGATAATGGGATAAACTTTCCTCCTTCTAACACTTCTCTTCCTTCTGTATTTGGTTTTGGTCCTTTAAGAACAATGAGGAGATGGTGAGTTCCATGTTTGTTGCCTTCCTTTTTAAGTTCATTCCTTAAATATGGCTAACAAGTCTGTCCTAAGGCATGATGCTATAATTACATGGATAGTGGAGGTACCAAGAAATCTCAATGATTTGGAGATTAATGAGTATGAAATGCTCCTCCAGGTCCTATCCAAGTGCATTCCTGATTATGGATGTTCCAGTTTGGAGCGTAGACTCTAAAAGGACTTTCTTTTATGGATATTCCCGTTACCTGTTGTTGCTATCTAAAAATAAGTGAATTGGATCCTTTCAGCATATTTAGAACACTTTGAAACAGTCTCTTTAAATCTTTGCAGTGGGGTTGAAAGAGGTTTCAAAGGTAAATCTTGCCCTAGGCTTGTGAAGATGGTTCTATCAGCAACTTTGACTCAAGATCCAAGTAAGCTAGCTCAGCTTGACCTACATCACCCCTTATTCTTGACGACTGGACAAAGGCGATACCAACTTCCGGAAAAATTGGAATCTTACAAACTGGTATGTCATCATAAAAGTTTAGTACTCTGGATAATTTAACATATGCTACTTGTTTTGCTCCAAAGGCTGTAATGTCACAGTAATTTCAACCTTATTCTCAGCCTGGATTTTGAAGTATTGCCTTCAAATATTAAACAAAATTTCTGTGTTGCTTTTCAACTGAAATCAAAGGTTTTGCAGCTTGGCATTCTAGCTATAAGCAAATGATAAGATCTTACATCGAGTTGAAACAACATTGACGACCTTGAAATTTTTTTTCAAGTTTTATAGATATGGATTGGGGAATGCATTTGAATTAGCAGAGAAAAATTTATGGTGCTCAAAATCTGAGGTATAGATGGTTGATTGTCTAAATCTTAATCATTGAACGGGAAACTTAATCAATATAAACAAAAGCTAATCCTTTGGTTTCTATCAACAAAAACTAAAAGATTATTGTCCAATACCAATTATGATTTTACAATATTTATTGTTTGTTCTATCATCTGTCATGTGACAACAATTTCAAGCTAACATTCAACATGGCTTCTGGCAGTTATTTTCAAGAATACTTGAGTTCATTAAATTATTCTGTGTATGGATTTCTGCTGAAAGCAAAGTCTCTCCCGTCTGGCACTGGAGCTATAAGGATATTTGTGAAATTTCTAGTTTTAGAGTTCTGATAAGAAATTGTATTTGAATTATTAGAAGCAACTTCTTTCTAATTGAGGCTTTAAAATAAGATGGTTGATTAGTTAAATTCTTTTTGTCCTAATCTTCAAAAGAAAATGTACTAAGACTGTTTAGGAACTAATCTTTCAAGACCAACTTTGAAACTAAAGAGAGTCTCTAATCAAAGTAAATTTTTTCCCTTGGTCTATAGGTTTTAATTAAGATTTAAGTTTTCTCTATGAAATTCCAAGTTACCTTGTTGAGTTTGTCAAGGCTGAAATTGAAGTACGCAAAAAATTGGTAACTTAAAAGCCCTGGTTTTTCATTTTCTACATGGACTTTTTATTAACAGATACACTGCCTACCAGATTCTGAGATGCTGAATCTGGAAGCTTAAATTTATATCAAGAAGAAGAATGTGTCCAGCTCTGTGGAGTTTTTAGTAGGAAACTTTTACCTTCATATTTCTCTTCTTTTAACATCCTTGAGTTTCTGTTTCCTTTTACAGATATGTGAATCAAAGTTGAAGCCTGCATATCTGGTTGCCCTTTTACAAAGTTTAGGAGGTGAGAAGTGCATTGTCTTCACATCTTCGGTGGAGTCAACTCATCGGCTTTGTACCTTACTAAATTTTTTTGGTGATCTGGAAATAAGCATCAAGGAGTATTCAGGTCTTCAACGGCAATTTGCAAGAACGTGATTCCTGGATTAGATTGGAGAACATCTATGTTGAACTAAATTATCCTATGATCTCTAAACGTGTGATAATCTGGGATTACCAGTGAATATTCTTGTATCTAAAACTGCTCTTGCTGACTGAATG